TTTTTTTTACACAATATATATATATATAGTTTAAATATTATAAAAGCGTAACCGTTTTTGAAATAGACATACTGTGTGCTAATAACCATAATGTATAAAGTAGACGTAATAAATATTATTATATAAACGATTAGCATATAATTGCGTAATTTCCTATTGTCAATTAGCCATAATAAATAATGTTACTGATCATTTGTCTCGCTCTCATTCTCTATTTTTAAAACCCGCCTGATAGAACAACGACCTCGTAAACACCAAACCTTGCCTTTTCAAAGATTGCACGTGGTCCATTCCCGAGTTAAAGGGATTTTTCCTTGACTCGAAATTCGGACCGACGATCGCACCGCCCGTAGGAAACAGGCGTCATAGCGTCTTCACGAGACGTTGACCCATATTCCGAAGCGGACAAAAAAAAAAGGGTGCGTTCGACTCGCCGGTGTTTGTTTCCAGGCAAATACCTGCGAGACTAGAGTCTGACCGTCCTTCCACGCTCCATCCTTTTCTACTCCCTTCTCTCTCTCTCTAAAAACCCACTTTTCCGGAGTTTGGACGTAACAATTTAAAGATATTAAAATTATTAAGATTAGAATCTTTTAATGTTATTCAGGATTATAATCTTCAGGATTATAACCAACATATTAAGATCAAAGCAATTAGCTACAAACACGATTTTACCAAATTAAAAAACAATGTAAACATTATAAAACTAATTAATTAGATGTTGACTAATGAAATTATAAATATTCTAGTGAGCCTGCTCACTTTTATATCTTTTAATTCTCGTTTTAAAGTATGTAATCAAATTTTTAAATTTTCAAAATAATTTTATTTAAAAAAAAAGATTAAACTAAACAATTTTTCTCGCATGCGTTATCGACATGTAATGTAAGAAATCTATTTGTTAATGTATTTAAATTAATTTTACTTATATTGTTGAAATTTAAGAGTAACACGAATATAGGTATTCGGGAAATATAGGAGGGAATTTTTAAAACATGGACTAATAAAAATACCACTTTCTCATGTCGCAACTTTTATTAAAAGGTCTCTAGACTTTACCCTATATATACATAACTTCTAATATTATATACTACACTAACAATGTTTCATCATGATGTTCTACGTTCTCTTAGATTTGTTTCGATAAGTTATTATTTCAGAAAATTATGAACGATGAATCGGATAATCAGCATACCAACTGAAAGCTCCATTGGATCCGGTATGTCCTCCGAAATCAACATAATCCAGGACATGCGCTCCCAATCGCTCGGAACGCTGTACCTTGGAATCATCTTGATGAGAAACGCTAGATACAGCGATTGGTACATATGCTTTTGTTTGTTTTGATAACGGTGCGATTGCATTTATCTTGATGATGTCGATACCATTGACAGAAATAGCGATATAATGTCGATCTCCTAATATACCGCAAACGGCGCATAACAACGTCAATACAATATCCTGAAAAAAGAAAAAGGAATTAAATTTTATTTAATGAATCGAAAGCCTAATAATGGGCCATTTATTATCTATTTACTGTCTATAAACCGTCTATCAATTAGATATTTATTGGTTGACAACAAACATTTTATTATTATTATCATAAGCGGCAACTTGCGAAAAATATTGGGGTGCCGACACCGAGAAATATTGAGGAGGGGTGGGGGAGGGGGCACAACAATATCCACTTTTGCGATGATACTGATAGAAATAAATTACTGAAATAATTAAAATCTATCAAATTAATGGAAATTTTAATGATTTTAGCGATTTATTTCCATCAAGAGCATCGCAAAACAGTGGATAATGTTATGTAGTTGACATCCACTTCTTTAGAGGGCTGTAGTGCACAAGGTACTTTGCAGTTATAGGATAAAGGCCCTCATACCCTCTCTCAGGTTTCTCTGTGGTATGTGTGCAGGGACACTATAGGAGTTCCAGGCATGTTCAGATTCCCACCTAAGTGTTCCTCTCTCATCTGTGTCTCATGTCATCTTTGTTATTTAACAAACATTAAACAAGGATGACATGACACCTGAGGAGCACTCTGATGGGAAACAGAACACGTCAACAAGCTACACTCAGTACACAATGATTATCTCATCTTTGTTTAATATTGGCGAACAACAAAAATGTAATAATACTATATACAGGGTGTCTGTTAAGTAAGATCGGAGCCGCGTTGGGGTTGTACAATAGAAGTCGAGGGAACAAAAAAGTCTTATACCGTTTTGTAATTTTTGCAATAGTTAACAAGATATTAATTATTAAAAATGGTCGAATATTAGTCTTCTATAATTTTTTTCTCAAATACTATCAATGTTATAAAAAAAACTATAAGAGATAAAAATTGTTTATTTTCTTCTCATAGAACTCTGAGAATTTTTTCAAAATTTTTTATCAACTTTTTAGTACTTGCATTTTCTTATTTTTATTATCATGAGAAAATATGATATTAAACAATTCTGAAAAAATTCTCAGAACTTTATGAAAAGAAAATAAACAATTTTTGTCTCTTACAGTTTTTCTGTAAAGTTGACAGTATTTGAGAAAAAAATTATTAAAGACTAATATTCGGCCATTTTTAGTAATTAATATCTTGTTATTGCGAAAATTGCAAAATAGTATAAAACTTTTTTGTTCTCTTTGAACCCATTCTACGCATTCAATACGGCTCCGACCTTACTCAACAGACACTCTGTATGCTACTTATATATATCTCTTGTTGGAAGGTGTCCTAGGACAGCAAAAACATGCCAGCGTCTCTAATTTTAATTCGTTACGTCAGTGTTATGCATAGCGTATGTCACGTGGCCAATGCTTTCTCGCAGTTTTGATCGCAAAAATCATTTGTAATTGTTAATAAAACTTTTGTTAAAACATCAAGATAAATAAAAATTATTGAGGGAGCATTGCCTCCTTCTCCCCCCCAATTCAATTTTATTAAAGGGA